ACATAAAAGAGGAAAGCGATGTGCAGAGCAGAAACAAAGTATACAAGATAGTGCAGCAGTAAACCCAATAATTCATCTACCAGAAGCCTGTCCAAAAATAGATTTTTCTTTCACTGGCAGGAGAAAACACCAAAATATGGACTACTATCAGCTAAGATGCTGAGACCTTCACAGTAGGTGGCAAAGGGCCCACATCACTCAGATGTCTCATCCCCCTGCTCCTGTAAATGGTTCTCTCTTTTACTTACAATTCTCATCCCCCTGCTCCTGTAATTGGCTGTTTTATTCAGAAGTCTCATCTCCATGTTCACACATTTATCTCCCTCTTCCTCCCCTGTCATTCAATTAGCCCCCTCTTTTACCTGTAATTCACACCACCACCACCACCCCCATCCCCCCCGCTTCTGTAATTGGCTCAGTATTTCATTCAGAATTTTCATCCCCCTGCTCCTGCAATTAGCTCTTTTTTTCCTGGCATTCCCCGTTCCTTGCTCCTGTAATTAGCTTTCTGCCCCAATGGGTAAAATATTATAGGACAGTAAACCTATAATATTTTTTTTGCTGCCCATAGGAGTATTTGCTGGGACTTGTAGTTCCCCAGCAGTGAAAGAGTCCAGGTTGAACCCCATACACCGAACAATGTGCAGATGTGACTCAACCTCCAGCAGCAAGCAGGAACAGATGTATTAATAGATTACTTTTACACGGCTGTCATGTTTTTCACATCATCACATGTGTCCTAATTAAGCAGTTAAACACAACACACCGTGCGTCCATTACGCTCCAGCTGAGTCTTCGCAGCTCAGGAAGAGACTATAACGCCTTTCACATACTTTGAGTTATTCCGGTTCTGTTTTACATCAAACTGATTTTGACCGTCACAGCTTTACGTGCTCACTGAACCACTCCTTTATTATTGTATTATGCATATCAATTTGTAGTGGCTCCCTCTAGTGGCCAACTACAGATCAGGTAGCCAGGCTACATTTCTGCTAAACATGTTGCAAGAACAGAATTCCAATCTCAGGGTCTAGTTATAAAAAACAAATTGCTGTGTTAATGCTTGAGAATACACAAAGCCGAAGCAGTGGAGATTTATTAAAACTGGAGCACTCAATCTAGTGCAGCTGTGCATAGTAACCAATCAGCTTCTAACTCCAGTTTGTTCAAATAGGCTTTGACAATACAACCTGGAAGCTGATTGGTTTCTAAGCAGAGCTGCACCAAAATATGCACTCTCCAATTTTTTAAATCTCCCCAAATGTGTCTAAAATGTGTATTTCCTATGATCATCAGTGCCATCTAGTGGCCATAATGTGATCATTTCTTAAATGTGTTTTCTTAACCACTTGCCCTCCAAAGGATTTACTCCAACCCATCCCCCCCCCGTCCTGATCAGGCCATTTTTTGCGTTACTTTAACTGATAACTGTGCGGTCATGCAACGCTGCACCCAAATGAAATTTACATCCTTTTTTTCCCACGGCAAAATGTATTCTGCTCCGTGTCTTTGCTAAAAAAAAATCCAAATACGTGTAAATTAATTGGTTTACCTGAAAGTTATAGCGTCTACAAATGGCGATATATACTGGATTTATTTTTTTTTTAATTTTTACTAGTAATGGTGGGGATCAGCGACTTATAGCGAGACTGTGACAGGCATTCTGATACTGGGGGGGGAACTGACATCCCCAGTGACAGCAATACAGTGATCAATGCTAATAAAAAGCACAGTTAAAAAGGTTAACTGTGTGCTGGGTGTGTGCTTTACACTGAAGGCACACTGCTTTGCATGGTTCTGCTATGCAGAGCCATGCAAAGCAGTGAGCAGGAGCTGACAGGGGAGAGAACTGTATTGTTTACATACAGCTCTCTCTCTCCATCGGTAATGCTCCGTGATCACCGGGTCCTGGCGAGTAATCACCGGTCGGGACCCGGGGATTGACTGCCGAGGCCGCTGATAGCGGTGCGGGTAGGGTGTGCGCAACCTGGAAATGCAAAATCACGTATATATATATATATATATATATATATATATGTGATTTTGCACACCCCTGCCACCCTGATTGAGTTGCTCATCATTTTTTGGATTGATTATTTGGGACTGAGTCACCTTTTTTATACATCAGTGTCATTGACTATTGTCACTAGCACTTTATAGCTGTTTTTTGCGGCCAGTACTTTCACTTGATTTTTTGCACTAATCATATGTATTTATATAAGTTTTATTTCAGGTACTTATATAGCGCCGTCAATTTACGCAGCACTTTACATATATATTGTACATGACTATTGCACCAGAGATAGGCTCGTCCACTTCCCCATTACCACCATTACCGTTCCGCACCAACCCCCTTCCCCTTAACCAATTCTACTAACAAAAGACAGAACACCAATTTTGGAGTAAATGGCCAACATGGCCTTTTAATAACAACTCAAGTTACAATACACCAACCATTCCTTTATAACAGAAAAACCCCCCAGAATTGTTGTTGGTCTTCGAAGGCACCCGAAAATGATCCGAAATGCACCTGCGGACAACCATATACACTAGGCCTCCAGCCGCTACCAACCAGCTCGGAGACAACCATACCGTCCGCAGTGCAGCACCACCACCTTCCAGTTAAACCTTGGTTAACTGGGAATGTCCCCGGGCAACCCATACCACCGATGGGGCCCACACCATTGTTGTTTTTTCCAAATAAGAACCGCCTCCAAAGACCAACAACCGCCACCAACCAGACCGTATAACAGAAACCCCCAGAATTGTTGTTGGTCCTCGAAGGCACCCCAAAACGATCCGAAATGCACTGCGGACAACCATATACACTAGGCCTCCAGCCGCAACCAACCAGCTCGGAGACAACCATACCGTCCACAGTGCAGCACCACCACCTTCCAGTTAAACCTCGGTTAACTGGGAATGTCCCCGGCATCCCATACCACGGATGGGTCCCACACCAGTGACGTTCACCGTCAAATAAGAACCGCCTCCAAAGACCAACAACCGTCCATTAACCAACATAGTCCCCCCCTTCTACCCGAGGGACCCAAAACTCACCCAAACAGGGAGGGCGGGAGGGAAGCTCACACTCTTGCCGTCCAGCTAACTGACGCCCCCTCACAGAACCTCCCACCCTAAGGTTGCAGCAAAACCCCACCTACACAAACCTCTACCAATCAGCTACCCCCCACTAACAATAACAAATCCCTCTGGAGCTACCTTAACCCTTTCTGCTCTTCCTTCCCCCACTCTGGGCCTAGTCATGTATGCCCTGCGCTATTTCTTCTTTATTTCGCTACGGGCATTTCTTTCACATCAGTCCCTAACCCTCAAGGGGCGTACAATCTAAGGTCCCTAACTCACATTCATACATACACATACTAGGGCCAATTAACCTATCAGCATGTCTTTAGAGGAAACCGGAGTACCCAGAGGAAACCCACACAGGCACAGGGAGAAACATGCAAACTCCATGCAGGTGGTGCCATGGTTGGGATTTAAACCAACGACCCTAGTACTGCCAGGTTGAAGTGCTAACCATTTAGCCACTGTGCTGCCCATTTTGTATTTATATGTTATGTTCACATTTGGATGAGGGACACATTTATGTAGATTGTAAGCTCCAAGGATCCTCCTAACCCTCTTGTATTGAACTGTATTGTTGCTGTATTGTCACCCGTTATATTGTAAAGCGCTGAGCAAAATGATGGCGCTATAAATCCTGAATAATAATAATAATAATAGTCTATGCTATATTTTTTTCACTCATTCTTTAACCACTTGCCTGCCGGGCACTTATACCCCCTTCCTGCCAGGCCAATGTTCAGCTTTCAGCGCTGTCACACTTTGAATGACAATTGCGCGGTCATGAAACTCTGTACCCATATGAAATGTTTATCACTTTTTTCACACAAGTAGAGCTTTCTTTTGGTGGTATTTAATCACCACTGAGTTTATTCATTTTTTGCTAAATAAAACCAAAAAACACCTGAAACTTTTCAAAAAAAAACACACTTTTTCTTCGTTTCTGTTACAAAATTTTGCAAATAAATAACATTTCTTCATAAATTTAGGTCAAAATGTATTCTGCTACATTTCTTTGGTGAAAATAATAATGATAATTGAATTTGTATTTTTTTTTTCAAATGTTTCTATTATTTTATTTATTTGTTGTTATTATTATACAGGATTTATATCGTGCCAAGAGGAAACAGAGGGCCCTGATCCTTAGAGCTTACAATCTAGGAGATTTATTATTACGTTTTGTGTTTTTTTTTACTATTTTATTTTTCAGTACACTGTGACCAAAGCAATACAATGTTACCATAGTAACATTGAACGACTCTGGGCAAGTGATCAGGATTTATTTTTAACACATTATGATTGCTAATACCGATGTATTTCATTAATATTTGCCATCATTGTTACTGAATGAAACTGATTCATTCAGGCTTTTGTAGTGATTAGCTGTGATTGGGCAAAGCTGATCACATGATACAGATTAGCTGTGATTGGCCCTGTCTGTATCATGTGACTGCCTTGACCAGTCACAGCTAACAACATAATTACAATACAATGGACGGCATGACAGGAAATTAGATTGTAAGCTCCCAGGATCAGGGCCCTCCTAACCTGGGGCTGACTGACCATTTGGAAACCCGGGGTCAGTAGGGCGCCCCATGAGATGCCCCTGGTACCTTTTTCATAGGCTTTTTTGAGTGTGGGCAAGGTCACAGGGGCCCCATGATCCCCTATTGCCCGGGGGCCCCATGAGTTGTCAGTCCGCTCCTGCTCCTAACCCTCTTGCATTGAACTGTATTGTTGCTGTATTGTCTCCCGTTATATTGTAAAGTGCTGAGCAAACTGTTGGTGCTATAAATCCTGTATAATAATAATAATGTCAGGAAGCCATCCGTTGTATACAATTGACATGTGATCTGCTGTGATTGGTCACAGCGGTCACATGACACTGGCAACGGGCCGGTGTAGTGCTATGTCATCGGTTGTGTCCCGTGTTGTCACCCCCAACAGGGAAGTGCCAAAACAAGGATTTTGATGGCAGGATCACCAACTATTATTTTAATGAGAGATTATATGAGATTTATTTTGATTGGTTTTATATCTCCTTGACCAGGGGCGGACTGACCATTTAGGCACTCGGGCACTGCCTGAGGGCCCAGGGTCAGTAGGGGGTCCCATGAGATGCCCCTGGTACCTTTCATAGGCTTTTTTTGGGTGTGGTTTGAGTGTGGGCAAGGACACAGGGGCCCCATGATTTCCTATTGCCCGGGGGTCCCATGAGTTGTCAGTCCGCCCCTGTCCTTGACCAAAGAATATTTCGAGGACACGTCCCTCGGTGGAAGTTGCGGCGTTAATAACGTTTACTGATTCAATAAAATCTTCCAAAAACAGATGATCACCCTGTAACAGGAAATACTGCCTGCAGGAGATGAGATTTGTGCTGTCAGCCTATGGCAGGTGGTAGGGCCCCACCTTACACCTACAGTGTCTCCATGCTGCCCTCCCTTCATTTGGGGTCACACCACTGCTGTTCAGGCTTAGCGGACAGCTATACCCCACAGGCCTCAGGAAAAGAGCGAATCAGACCGTCCGTGTGTGTTTGTAGAGGTTGGAATATGTGACTGCGGGGTTGGTGTGTGTGCGGGGGGGGGGCTGAGATGCTCCAGCGGACACATCGCGCTGCAGGCTCTTCCAGGCCCCGCCGCCATTTAACCTTGAAAAGCCTGCCGACTCTAACCGTCCCTAATTCGCCGGCAGAAATACATAAACCGGGATTGTCGGCAGCGCGGGCTTATTCTGAAATCCATTCCCTCTTTCTGACGACTATTTTTAGGATCCACTTTAAAAGGAACTATAGCTATCGGCTCATACAATCTCCTCATCATCCTTGAGGCTGGAAGAGAAAAGAGCTGGATCCTGAAGGCGTCACGTTTTCATGCTATCACTCATCCTGAAAAGGAGTCTTCCTTCCCCTATTGGGTCCATGATTTTCCTTTATAAGCATGGCATTTCAGATAATGACGTTTTCATGCTATCACTCACCCTGAAAGAGTCCCCCTCCCCCTACTGGATTCAAGATTTTCCTTTATAAGTATTGCACTTCAGATAATGATGTTTTCATGCTATCACTCACCCTGAAAGAGTCCTCCTTCCCCTACTGGATTCATGATTTTCCTTAATAAGCATTGCACTTCACATAATGTTTTCATGCTATCACTTACCCTGAAAGAGTCCTCCTTCCCCCTAATGGATTCATGATTTTCCATCATAAGTATTGCACTTTATATAATGATGTTTTCATGCTATCACTCACCCTGAAAGAGTCCTCCTTCCCCAGTTGGGTCCATGATTCTCCTTTATAAGCATGGCATTTCAGATAATGACGTTTTCATGCTATCACTCACCCTGAAAGAGTCCCCCTCCCCCTACTGGATTCATGATTTTCGATCATAAGTATTGCACTTCACATAATGATGTTTTCATGCTATCACTCACCCTGAAAGAGTCCCCCTTCCCCCTAATGGATTCATGATTTTCCATCATAAGTATTGCACTTTATATAATGATGTTTTCATGCTATCACTCACCCTGAAAGAGTCCTCCTTCCCCAGTTGGGTCCATGATTCTCCTTTATAAGCATGGCATTTCAGATAATGACGTTTTCATGCTATCACTCACCCTGAAAGAGTCCCCCTCCCCCTACTGGATTCATGATTTTCCATCATAAGTATTGCACTTCACATAATGATGTTTTCATGCTATCACTCACCCTGAAAGAGTCCCCCTTCCCCCTAATGGATTCATGATTTTCCATCATAAGTATTGCACTTCACATAATGATGTTTTCATGCTATCACTCACCCTGAAAGAGTCCTCCTTCACCCGCACAGAGGAATGTGGACCCGCTGGTGGGTGCCTTTAGTTCTAATGGCGTGCCGCCCGCACTGGAAAACGCAACCGTACTGGGAACCGAGGTTCCCGTGCGGACTGCATTTTCCAAAGAAGTGCAGGGACTTCTTTCCCTGCGTGTCACCGGCACGGGAGTCCATTCAAATGAATGGGTTCTGGTGCCTGTGCAAAACGCAGCCCGCACGGCCGCATAGGTGTGAACCGGGGGTAAAAGAGTCCTTCTTCCCCTATTGGAATCATGATTTTCTTTTATAAGCATTGCACTTCACATAATGATGTTTTCATGCTATCACTCACCCTGAAAGAGTCCTCCTTCCCCTATTGGGTTCATGCTTTTCCTTAATAAGCACTGCACTTCACATAATGACGTTTTTCATGCTATCACTCATCCTGACCCTAGGTTCACATCTGTGCAGGTGGTGCCGCTGCGGAACCGCACGAAAATCCATGCAGCTGTACCACCCGCACAGAGAAATACGGACCCGCGGGTGGGTACCATTAATTCTAATGGCACGCCGCCCGCACTGGAAAACGCAACCGTACTGGGAACCGAGGTTCCCGTGTGGGCTGCATTTTCCAAAGAAGTGCAGGGACTTCTTTTCCTGCGTGTCACCGGCACAGGAGTCCATTCAAATGAATGGGCTCTGGTGCCTGTGCAAAACGCGGCCTGCACGGCTGCATAGGTGTGAACCGGGGGTAAAAGAGTCCTTCTTCCCTACTGGATTCATGATTTTCCTTTATAAGCATTGCACTTTATATAATGATGTTTTCATGCTATCACTCACCCTGAAAGAGTCCTCCTCCCCTACTGGATTCATGATTTTCCTTTATAAGCATTGCACTTCACATAATGACGTTTTCATGCTATCACTCACCCTGAAAGAGTCCTCCTTCCCCTATTGGGTCCATGATTTTTCTTAATAAGCACTGCACTTTATATAATGATGTTTTCATGCTATCACTCACCCTGAAAGAGTCCTCCTTCCCCTACTGGATTCATGATTTTCCTTTATAAGCATTGCACTTCACATAATGACGTTTTCATGCTATCACTCACCCTGAAAGAGTCCTCCTTCCCCTATTGGGTCCATGATTTTTCTTAATAAGCACTGCACTTTATATAATGATGTTTTCATGCTATCACTCACCCTGAAAGAGTCCTCCTTCCCCTACTGGATTCATGATTTTCCTTTATAAGCATTGCACTTCACATAATGACGTTTTCATGCTATCACTCACCCTGAAAGAGTCCTCCTTCCCCTATTGGGTCCATGATTTTTCTTAATAAGCACTGCACTTTATATAATGATGTTTTCATGCTATCACTCACCCTGAAAGAGTCCTCCTTCCCTACTGGATTCATGATTTTCCTTTATAAGCATGGCATTTCAGATAATTATTATACAAGATTTATACTTATGTTTTCATGCTATCACTCACCCTAAAAAGGAGTCTTCCTTCCCCTATTGGGTTATATATACGGCCAAAATTGTAGCATTTCAAATAGATGTCAATGTATTTGGGACGAGTATTTTTAAAATATATTTACAATATATTTTTCTTCCATGGTGGAATACACGTTAGTGCACGCAGGGGCGGACTGACAACTCATGGGGCCCCCAGGCAATTGTGGATCATGGGGCCCCTGTGTCCTTGCCCACACTCAAAACACACCCAAAAAAAGCCTATAAAAAGGTACCAGGGGCATTTTATGGGGCCCCCTACTGACCCCGGGCCCTCGGGCAGTGCCCGAGAGCCCGAATGGTGAGTGCGCCCCCGAGTGCATGCACTTCAGCACGCATTGCCTTAGGTCGGCCTATAGGGGGCGCAGCACAGGCTCGCTTTAGCAGATGCAGAAGTAAAGTGCAGGTTGTTTTCACCTAATTGCAGAGATCATTAACGTTCCATAAGGAAACGATTTTTTGTTTGTGTTGTCGTATTCGCTGTTGTCGGGCAACTTCCACCCTCCAGCACTCTGCGATTGTGTGACCTTGGAGTAGAGTCGGGCGGCGGGGTCACGGAAGCAATTAGCGCGGGTTCTGATAAAGCGCTCATTGTTTGATACCTAACGCCCTATCGAGGGGTAAGTGCGACACTCCCAGCTACTCACCTCAATCTCCTCTAAATTCCAGAACAAATGTCAATCCATCATGTGTGCGCTCCCCATGGCTTTGTAATTCTTTGCAAACAACGTCAAAGTGATCTTCCCTGAGCTGGATCATCAGTGTCTGTCTTCTGCCTACATGAAAGACCTGTCAGTGGATAGAGCCATGCGAGCGCTGCCATGCAATGGGGGGGGGGGGGGGGGGAGGGGAGCAGTGCGCGCTGCTATTTTTCTACCATTTTCTAAATATCTAAATGACCTGATTTGTATCGATCTGAAGCCCGGCTTAAATGCCAGACATTCCACGTCATCCTTCAAGGGGCGCTCCGCTCAGACTTGGACATTTTTGCATTTAAAGGGATGACAGAATCTTTATTCTGTTTTTATTATTTGAAAAAATAAATGCAACATATTATCAGATTCATACAAACCAGGATGTTCTCGTTTCTGTGGATGGTAGTTGTTTTTTTTTTTTTAATCTCCTATTTTGCGTATAATTTGTCATTTTTGATAGCACAGCACAGTGGCTAAATGGTTAGCACTTCCGCCTGGCAGTACTCAGGTCGTTGGTTCAAATCCCAGCCATGGCACTACCTGCCTGGAGATTGCATGTTCTCCCTGTGCCTGCGTGGGTTGCCTCCAGGTACTCCGGTTTCCTCCCACACTCCAAAGACTTGATGGTGTATGTAGAGCCTGACTCCTGTTCCCAGGGATGTCTGGAGCTTTATAGATGAGTGTCTTTCTCTCTATCATGGGGGGTAGTGGAAGGCTCTCCCAAGGGGGGGGGGGGGTGTTGGTCGGTGTCCATTGGGGCAGACAATTTGTGTTGCTTAGGGCAGCACAAAACCTAAATACACCACTGCTGGCAGCACTAGGGTTGTTGGTTCAAAGCCCAACCACAGCACCTCCTGCCTGGAGTTTGAATGTTCTCCCTGTGCCTGCGTGGGTTTCCTCCGGGTACTCCGGTTTCCTCCTACACTCCAAAGACATGCTGGTAGGTGAATTGGCTCCTGTCTAAATTGTCCCTAGTATGTGTATGTATGAATGTGAGTTAGGGACCTTAGATTGTACGCCCCTTGAGGGTTAGGGACTGATGTGAATGTACAATATATATGTAAAGTGCTGTGTACACTGACAGCACTATATAAGTACCTGAAAAAATTTTTGCCATTTTTTTAAAGCCCCATTTCAGATATCGCGTTGCAGGAAGGAGCGCTCCTGCTTGCGATTTTAAAAGCGCAATTTACTGCATGAGAAGCATAGGGCATTCACTTCAATGGGCTGCCCTGTACAAATGTGTTGCCCACAAGAAGCTCATGTTCCTTTTTGGATGACAAGCTTAGCGTGATTCTCAAACACGCATTTTGCCGCGATTGCCACGCAATGTAACAGTCCTGTGAGAATCGCACCGCATTTGGGTTACTATTGGGAATATTGGCACCCAAATGCACGCTGCCATTCTGATTCCAAATCAATGTAAGAGAAGGGGGGTCAGTGCGCGCTGAAAGTCAATGAGCTGCTAAACACCAAAGGTACCAAAAACCTCCAAAACAGACAATAAAACAGCAGGGTGTAGCGCTTAAAGTAAAGGTATAAGACACTAATAAAAGTAATCGTGGTAAAATAAATATAAATATCAAACCATATATCATGTCTTGATAACAGCCTATGGATATGACGTTTTTAAGCATTAATATCTCAATAATAGTCCCAGAATGAGTAATAAAGTGACACAGTGCAAATGCATATATAAATAGGTGTAATGCGTCACTAATCAGCGACTTGCCATGTGCACAGTGCCAGGTAAAAGTCCAAGTATTAAGGTGCCTAGAAGTCTTCCGGATCCAGATAGCTGGTCCTAACGATTGGTGATAAAGAAAAGTGTAAAGACTGCGCACTCACCAGATACGCAATCACACTGCGCACTCACCAGATACGCAATCACACTGCGCATTTAGAGATATCAACCTCAAAGAACCAGGGTGTCCCCTGAAAAGGTCTGGTATCCCTCTTATGCCGACATCCACTGCCCATGGGTAGCTCACCTCTTCTGTGGATGGTAAGAGCTCTCAGAGAGCTCAGAAAAGAGGAGGCTAATAGCGTTTAACCTCCCTGGCGGTATGATTCTTTCCGATTTTTTTGTGCTGAAAGCGGTACCATTTTTTTTGCATGGAAATATGTAGTTTTTTATTGTAGGCTGCAATTTTTAGGAATAACTCACTGAAATCTGTCCGAACAAGAGTCTAGTAAACATCCCGGGTAGGATAAAACTTGAAACACGAAATCATAAATTATAATTGAATAAATAATCATAAAAAATAATATAATAATAATAAATTTAATTCAATAATATAATCAAACCAAAAACACTGAAATTTGAAATACAGAGGCAAATTCGCACATCGCTGAGCAAAGTCGCAAAATCGTTTTCAGTGTCTGATGACGAATTTCCCCCACGAATCATTATCACTCAATTCTGCAAGTGGTTCTGATTTACTATCGCTGTTCTAAAACCGCTTTTGATGTAAAGGGACGCTTTTTGGACGCCGTGGACTTTTCTAAGTTTCCAGGCAGAAAGAACAGTCAAAATGCAGGCAGGGCGCAGGACAAAGCACTCGGGACAAAATGTATGTGAAATGCATTGAAACAGCAATGACAGCAAAAATCACATTTTTAAAAAATTTCAAATTTCCCGCCGGTTCCGGCGCCCGTACGTCCCGACGTCACAGGGACCGGAACACAGAAGCCGGATGCCGGCATCGGCCGGAGGAGATGGCCGGGGATGCTGCAGAGGACACATCGGGGGAGCGAAGGACAAGGTAAGTGCTGCAGGGACCCCCTGAGCAACGCCGCATGGTAAGCCCGAGTGTAGCTCGGGGTTACCGCTCTTGGTTTCTGAAATTTTACCCCGAGCTACACTCAGGAATACCACTAAGGAGGTTAAACAGAGGGTGCTTTATTAAGCAAGTAAATGAACAAACCACTGACCAGTAATGGTGATCTAAGATGGCTGCCGGGACCAGTGTGGTGCTGGCAGTGTGGCGTCCTAGTGCTGTAGCCCCTCACTGACGCGTTTCGTGCGATGGCACGTACTCATAGGGGGTCTGCATTCCAAATCACCTAATGTTAGCGGGGACTAAAATCTAAGGCATTTATTTCTACGAAAAATTTGTTTTGCGAATGTCTTAGCTTCCACGCAAAAGTCACAAATAATACCCGTAATGTTTGTAATATGTGTGAAATGTCAGTATGTATTTGTTACTTTTCGCAGGGTGGATGTAACATTCCAGAAGAGTTTTTTTTTTTTTTTAATAAACAAGTTAACTTACCCGTTCTGTGCAGTGGTTTTACACAGCCTCCTGTTCCAGGGTCCCCCACTTGCGCTGTGGACTCCTCCTCTTCTCCGTGTGCCACCTTAGGAAGCTGCTTCCTATGGTGGCACACATGTGGGTTCGATCCAAACTGGGCTGTGTGTGTCTATTGACATACACAGTGTGGCTCAGCTCCACCCCCTGCCCCTCATCGCTGGATTTAATTGACAGCAGCAGGAGCCAATGGCTCTCACTGTTCACAATCAAGAATTGTATCACTTTGCACTCTATTTTCACTTACTGGGACTGAATAATTATTATCAGTATCAATATTGTTTTTCAGATATTGCTACAGAGTTTTTCATATTTGCACTATTTATGCGCAGTCCATCGGGCGGCACAGTGGCTTAGTGGTTAGCACTTCTGCCTTGCAGTAATTGTGTCATGGGTTTGATTTTCGACCATGGCGCCTCCTGCATGGAGTTTGCATGTGCGCGTGGGTTTCCTCTGGGTGCTCCGGTTTCCTCCTACACTCCAAAGACACGCTGGTAGGTTAATTGGCTTCTGTATAAATTGTCCTAGTTTCATCCCTGGCCATGCGGTTGGGGAAGGACCTGGCAACCTACCCTGTAAAAATAATTGCTAAGAGAATTCATGGAAAAAGTCACTTACGAGTGACGGTCCATGCAATCGCCAAGGGTTGGATACAACTGAATCGATAGATAGAGATGTGCGGTCCATATGGTATTCACTTTAAAAAACCTGAAGCTTTTGCAACCACTTCACCCTAGGTTCACATCTGTGCAAGTGGTGCCGCTGAGTATCCGCACGAAAATCCGTGCAGCCGCACCACCCGCACAGGGGAATGTGGAGCCATGGGCAGGTGCCATTACTTCTAATGGCACACCGCCCGCACTGGAAAACGCAACCGTACTGAGAACCGAGGTTCCTGTGTGGGCTGCGTTTTCTGAAGAAGTGCAGGGACTTCTTCTCTGCGTGTCACGGGCACGGGAGTCCATTCAAATGAATGGGCTCTCGTGCCCATGCAAAACGCGACCCGCACGGCCGCATAGGTGTGAACCGGGGTTAAAGAACATTCGACCAATAGAGGAAATAGCCTAACACTAAAGGCTAAGAATATTCGACTATGAGAGGGAGGTGCCCGTCTGTGTACAAATTGTAACAAAGGGACCGGAAAAAAATAAACGATGGCGTGGCGCCCCCTTCAAGCTCCAATCAAGACCCTTTGGGGTTTTGTATTGACTTTGAGCCCCTAGGAATTAGACCCTCGTCAGGTTTCTGTTGCTGTCATTAGGGAGATTCTCCCGCACTATTTGTCCTGGTAACCGTTATCACCAAAAGTAAAAGAAAACTTCTAATTTTGGGTTGTGATCAGAACAATAATAATTGGGAAATCTTCCAATGGGGACTTCTGAGGGATTCCCTCATCTTGGAGGGATTTCTTCTCACTTCTTGTTTTGATTATGGGACAGTAAATGAAGGGAAATCTCCCCAATGAGTCAGAGAGGGCAAAAGATCACTTAGGGGACCAGGGGCGGATTAATCATTTGTAAACTTGGGCACTGCCCAAGGGCCCGGGGTCAGTAGGGGGCCCCATGAGATGCCCCTGGTACCTTTTTCATAGGCTTTTTTGAGTTTGGGCAAGGACACAGGAGCCCCATGATCCCCTATTGCCGGGGGGCCCCATGAGTTGTCAGTCCGCCCCCTGTAGAGGAGTTATTTTATTCTTCTGTAGCATCATCAATGTATGCATTACTTTACATATATATTGTACATTCACATCAGTCCCTAACCCTTAAGGGGTGTACAATCTAAGGTCCCTAACTCACATTCATACATACACATACTAGGGACAATTTACACAGGAGCCAATTCACCTACCAGCATTGGAGTGTGGGAGGAAACCCATGCAGGCACAGGGAGAACATTCAAACTCCAGGCAGGAGTGAAGAGATCCTGACACTGACCATCAACACCCCTGCCCCCCCCCCCTCAGGAGAGCCTTCCACTACCCCCCATGATAGAGAGAAAGACACTCATCTTCAAAGCTCCAGACATCCCTGGGAACAGGAGTCAGGCTCTACATACACCATCAAGCAGCCCACAGCCTCTCTTGGATCCCACCTGGTTCCTATGGCACACATGTCCCTTCTTTCATCCCTTCTTCTGGGGGGAGGTGCTGCCCCCCTGGAAAATGCCGCCCTAGGCAAGTGCCTTGTTTGCCTTGTGGTAAATACGCCTCTGGCTGCCAGGTGGAAATGCTAACCATCTAGCCACCATCATAATCCTCATTTCCTCTATCCAAAACTAAAAAAGCTTTGCCTTTAGTTCTACTTTAACTATAACTGGGGTCATCCTCCCCGGCTGCCCTGTGTGGCAGAGATGTGTGAATTTCAGGAATGGATTGACAGTAATTGAAATTCTTTGCACACTTTGGCCTTTCTGTGCCTCGCAGTGGCTTGTATGGAGAGCGCGGATGTCTGTAGCTGCGAACACAAGCTTTTTCCCTGACAAGATGTTTACAGCAGGGACGCACGCACGCCGTAATGAGGAATGAATTTGGAATTAATCTACATCAGGCTGTGCTTATACAAGACGGTAGCACAGATCGTGATTGTGAAATCCTTTCCAGAGCAATCCCAACCCCAATTCCACAGCAGGCACATCCCAAATGACATGCAGCTCTATGGATGAGCCTAATGGCATCATAGAAAGCCAGCAGACAGCTCATCCTCTAGGTCAGTGGCGCTGCAGCCGTGGGATTGAACGCAGGATGGGGGTCACGTCCTCTGCAGCCACATCTGCTCCGAGGATTTTAGGATGTTAGAGTCAGCAAAAATCAGAGATCAGGCTTAAGGAGGGGCTTTTCTTCATGGCGCAAGCCTGTTATAGGTTTGAAACTACTGAAACCCACATCAGGAGCGCATTGGTTTTAATCAGTCGGCAAATTCATAGACTTGCACTGCAAGAAGGGCAGTAAAGCGCAACCTCTGTGAAGAAGGAAGTACAGATCAGGGGTGGACTGACAACTCATGGGGCCCCAGGGCAATAGGAAATCATGGGGCCCCTGTGTCCTCACCCACACTTAAACCACACCCAAAAAGCCTATGAAAGGTACCAGGGGCATCTCATGGGGCCCCCTACTGACCCTACTGGCAGTGCCCAAGTGGCTAAATGATCAGTCCGCCCCTGGGTGTGAGCTTTGTTGATTGGGGGCAGGGGCGAACTGACAACTAATGCGGCCCCCAGGCAATAAGAGATCATGGGGCCCCTGTGTCCTCGCCCACACTTAAACCACACCCAAAAAAGCCTATGAAAGGTACCAGGGGAATTTTATGGGGCCCCCTACTGACCCTACTGGCAGTGCCCGAGTGGCTAAATTATGAGTCCGCCCCTGGTACCGACTGCATATGGAATTATTATTATTATACAGGATTTATATCGCGCCAACAGTTTGCTCAGCGCTTTACAATATAACGGGAGACAATAGAGCAACAATACAGTTCAAAACAAGAGGGTTAGGAGGGCCTGATCCTGGGAGCTTACAATCTAAGAAATAAACAAATAGCACTGCTAAGATAATTTTCAATGAGATAATATCTTCATCCCGCATAACTAAAAAGCAGCAAATGACTATACAGTCCCTTTAACCACTTGCCCTCCTGAGGATTAACCCCCCTTCATGACCAGGCCATTTTTTGCGTTACGGTGCTGTGTTACTTTAACCGACATTGCGCGGTCATGCAACACTGCACCCAAATGAAATTTACATCCTTTTTCCCCCCCACGAATTAATCTTTCTTTCGGTGGTATTTGATCGCCTGTGCAGTTTTTATTTTTTGCGCTATGAAAAAACCCCAGCAATTTTGAGAAAAAAAACAATATTTTTGACATTTTGCTATTAAACACGTTCAGTTAAAAAATTTAAAAAATCAAATTTTGTTATAAATTTACACCAAAATGTATTCTGCTCCCTGTCTTTGCTAAAAAACATCCCATACTCATAAATTAATTGGTTTACATGAAAGTTATAGCATTTACAAATGGCGGTATATATACTCGATTTTTTAAAAAATTTTTTGCTAGTAATGGAGGCAATCAGCGACTTATAGCGGGACTGTGGCGGACATTCTGACACTGGGGGGGAACTGACTTGGTGTCATTGACATCCCCAGTGATACCAATACAGTTTTAAGTGCTAAAAAAAAGCACTGACACTGTGCTAATGGCACTGGGCAGGAAGGGATTATGAGGGGCGATCAAAGTGTTAACTGTGTGCAGAGAGTGTTTTATTAGGGGGCTGTGTCAGTGTGCTTCACTGTAATCACACTGCTCTGGATGGCTGTGCTGTGCACAGCCATCCAGAGCAGTGTGCTTGAGCTGACAGGGAGGAGGACTGTTAGCAGAGGAGGACTGACCATTTGGAAAGGGCCCGAGGTCAGTAGGAGGCCCCATGAGATGCCCTTGGTACCTTTTTCATAGGCTTTTTTGAGTTTGGGCAAGGACACAGGGGCCTCATGATCCCCTATTGCCCGGGGGCCCCATGACTTGTCAGTCCGCCCCTGACTGTTAGTAAACAAAACAGTCCTCCTCCCCATCGGAGATCTTCGGAAATCACTAGGCACCAGCGAGTAATTACCAGGCGGGACCCGGTGATTGACAGCCGCGAATGGCGATGTGGGTAGGGTGCACGCGCAGCTTGTGCACGCCCCTTTCCCGGAAATGCAAAATTACGTATAGAACCCGTGCCACCCTGTAGCAGTATTTCTGCTATAGGATGGATGGGAAGTGGTTAAATCTATGTAAGCCCAATCACATATTTATCAACAATATATGGTCCTGAATCCTAGGCCACTCTTAACCCTACCCACAGTCTGCATTTCATCCCGACTTTCCAGGTGATGGGTTTCCAAAGCACGCCCATTTTGGTTGGTCCCCCCCAGCCTCTGAATAGGTGTGGCCCACCTATCACACCCAGTGTATGGACTGCCCACTCACCCACAAATCCCTGCAATTAATGCTTTTTTTAATTAATTACACATGTGCAGCAACTCAAAAGAGGACATAGCACCCGCGCGGAACAGTGGGCCAAGATGTGGGAATTTCCTGGCAAATTTTACAATCACTAAATCTTATTAAAGCTTTACGGTATTAATGATATTTCCAAATTCTTCAAATCTGCAGCTTTCATTAAAATGATCTCTGGTGATCCTGCCATGGAACTTCCCTGTTCAAGCACTTCCTGTTATAGGATGACAACACTGCCTCTATCTCCCATCTCCCATCTGTGCTCCTGCGTTGTCACCCTCTTCTGACTGAGAAAACAAGTGGCCATTTCAACACAGAATACACAGCACAGTCCACTGTTGTCACCATGAGGAAACCTGCTTTGAGAACTGCCATGCAGCCACCACTGGAGTGCATGTAGACGGGAAGTGGCTGCAACACTGTGAAGAGATTATGACATTTTTCCAGAGAAGTTCAGAATATTTGACTGCTTAATGGAAAAGAATACATAATACATACCGAGCCAACACTGAAAGGACCAGAGCGATAATTCCTATTCATCTATCAGCAATATTAGACTTCCAAACCATTTTAAGGACAGTAATAATCAAAGGGAGAATTATTCTTCTCTAATCATTTTATTAAAAGACTTCACCAACTAACATAAAAGATGGAGTCCCCTAAATGCAGATTGGATTACAATTGTGCCTTAGGAAAACAATCCTACTTAGCATACCATATACATACCGTACATGGGAGCGGCTGTTCTAGAACCACTTAGTGGCTTAATGATGGAGATACAATCTCCTATAGACTTGGACAGTACATATGTGAAGGATGAGGTGCCGGGTTGTCTGGGGATTCCAGGACACTCAACAGTTTTGAGATTTTGCCCCAGGAAAGATTTGCACTGATTTACAACTGCATCCTGCTTCTATGGTACATTCGCTGGTAATGCTGAGAGCTGGTGGTCTTTGTCCCTGAGCTCCCTCTGCAAGAAGCACCCCTCGCCCTACCCCTCCATGTACCCTAACACTGACAATCCATGGGAAACTAATACTAACTCTCTTAGTAGCCTAACACTAACCCTTCTTGTGAAACTAACCATCCCTGTAACGTAACAGTAGCTCTCCTTGTAAAACTAACACTAACTCTCCCCTCTCCCTGTAACCTAACACTAACCATCCTTATAAAACTAACACTAACCCTCCCCTGTAACCTAACACTAACCCTCCCCTGTAACCTAACACTGACCCTCCCTGTAACCCTAACACTGACCCTCCCTGTAACCTAACACTGACCCTCCCTGTACCTAACACTGACCCTCCCTGTAACCCTAACACTGACCCTCCCTGTAACCCTAACACTGACCCTCCCTGTAACCCTAACACTGACCCTCCCTGTAACCTAACACTAACCATCCCTTGTAACCCTAACACTGTCCCTCCCTGTAACCCTAACACTAACCCTCCTTGTGACCTAACACTAACCACCCCTGTAACCCTAACACTGTCCCTCCCTGTAACCCTAACACTAACCCTCCTTGTGACCTAACACTGCCCCTCCTTGTGACCTAACACTGCCCCTCCTTGTAACCTAACACTAACCCTCCCTGTAACCTAACACTAACCCTCCCCTGTAACCTAACACTGACCCTCCTGTAACCCTAACACTGACCCTCCCTGTAACCTAACACTGACCCTCCTGTAACCTAACACTGACCCTCCTTGTAACCTAACACTGACCCTCCTTGTAACCTAACACTGACCCTCCTTGTAACCTAACACTAACCCTCCTTGTAACCTAACACTGACCCTCCTTGTAACCTAACACTGACCCTCCTTGTAACCTAACACTAACCCTCCTTGCAAACCTAACACTAACCCTCCTTGCAAACCTAACACTAACCCTCCTTGTAACATAACACTAACCCTCCTTGAAAACCTAACACTAACCCAACACTAACCATCCTTGAAAAACTAATACTAATGCTTCCTTTAACACCAATCTAAACACTAACCCTTCCTGTACCCCTAACACTAATCCTCACACTAACCCTCACACTACTAACCCTCTCTCCAGGTAACTTTTGATATAACCCCGCTCACCCTCCCTGTAAAACTAACACTAAGACTAATGCTAATACAATCAAAATCATTTGGAAGGAAAGATATGGTTATTTGATTGTTTGCCAGTTTGATTGAATCACACATCGATCAAATAATAAAATCGAAGCCTTCAATATATGGCCACTATTAGTCACATTGAATGATGGAATGATCGATCACATCTGTACATGTTTGACCACCTTAAAACCCAGAATCAAGGACAGATGGCAGCTACCATTACACCCTGAATGTGATACTCCGGCCCGGCACAGAGGGAATATTTTGACCCGGCACAGAGGGGATATTTTGGCCTGGCACAGAGGGAATATTTTGGCCTGGCACAGAGGTAATATTTTGGCCCGGCACCGAGGCAATATTTTGGCCCGCCACAGAGGCAATATTTTGGCCCGGCACAGAGGGAATATTTTGGCCCGGCACAGAGGGAATATTTTGGCCCGGCACAGAGGGAATATTTTGGCCCGGCACAGAGGGAATATTTTGGCCCAGCACAGAGGGAATATTTTGGCCCAGCACAGAGGTAATATTTTGGCCCGGCACAGAGGGAATATTTTGGCCCGGCACCGAGGTAATATTTTGGCTCGGCACAGAGGTAATATTTTGGCCCGGCACAGAGGGAATATTTTGACCCGGCACAGAGGGGAATATTTTGACCCGGCCCAGAGGGAATATATTGGCCTGGCACAGAGGTAATATTTTGGCCCGGCACAGAGGCCATATTGTGGCTCGGCACAGAGGGAATATTTTGGCCTGGCACAGAGGGAATATTCGTCTTCTTCAGCTTAGTATGGGGGAGTCTCATCACAAAGCAGAGCTGTCAATCACGCCGTTCACAACAGAACAATTTCCCTTATTCTGCAAAATCTCTTTACTTTTCTGCCGGGATAATTAAGTTACTAAATTTAAATCGTTATTAAAAGAAAAGAAAAACTCCTGGATGTTATTGGCGGAGCCGAGGTGTGTGGAGAAAACTCTTTTGTGCCCCACTTGTCTCTTACACCTTCAGAAAATGTTTAATTAGCTCAAGATCCTCTCTGCAAGTCTTGGAAATTTCGCGCTGGCAAATCCAACAATGTCTTTCTGACAACGTGATAATTACTTTAAGTACAGTCTTCATGAGAAGGCGCCTGTCATGGCGGGCACTCAGTGATTTTTTTAAAGTATAATTATATCACACCAGGATCGGAGGCAGAGACTCTGGGCAATCCATTGGAATGATCACTACCCCTCTCCCAGGAAGCCCAAAGGAGACATGGATGTCGACTGTAAAGAGGACCTGTCATGTGATTTACTGCAGAATGCTACGTAATGTGTCAGTGTGACTCTTCCAGGTATTTACTACCCTTCACAGAGATGTATTTGACATCATAGTCCCTAGTGCCCCCCCCCCCCCTTTATCTCAGAGTCCCCAGCCGAACCAACCCCCCTAACGCACCCAACCCCCTACCCCTACACACACACACAGACACCTTTCACATCATAGTCCCTAGTCCCCTTCTGCTTTTCACATCAGAGTTCTCAGCCCCCCCCCCCCTCCCCCTTCCTTTCACATCAGAATCCACAGTTCCTTCCACAAAAGAGTCCTTAGTCCCCCTTTCTTTTCTTTCACATAAGAGTCCTCAGTCACACCCCTTTTACATAGGAGTCCTCAGTCCCCAAAGAGTCCTCATTCCCCCCTTCTTTCACAAAAGAGTCCTGAGTCCCCATTTCACATAAGAGTCCTCAGCCCCCCAACCGTTCACATAAGAGTTCTCAGCCCCCTTTTTCACATGATATTCCTCAGCCCCCCCTTTGCATAAAACTTCTTAGTAAGAGTCCTGAGTCCCCATTTCACATAAGAGTCCTCAGCCCCCCAACCCTTCACATAAGAGTCCTCAGTCCCCCCTTTCACATAAGATTCCTCAGCCTCCCCTCAAGAGTTCTCAGCCCCCCCCCCCCCCCCCCCCCTTTTCACATGATATTTTCCTCAGCCCCCCCTTTGCATAAAACTTCTTAGTACCCCCCTTTCACATAAGATTTCCTCAGCCCCCTCTTCATTTGCATAAGAGTCCTCAGTCCCCCTCCCCCACCAAGCTTCCACATGATAGTCCTTAGTCCCCCCATTTCACATAAAATTCACCTTCTCCCTTTTCACATCATCTCCACAGCCTCCCCCTCACATCATCTACTCAACCCCCCCCTCGCTTTTATATCAGAGTCCTCAGTCCCCCCCTTTCACATAAGAGTCCACTTCCCCC